TATCACAATTTATTATGCATTGATTAGATCTACATTAGAATATTGTTGTACAGTATGGCATTGTGGTCTACCTATGTATCTGTCTGAACAAGTCGAGAAAATTCAAAAACGTGCACTGAGGATTATACTGCCAGGTCGATCCTACGGTGAAGCGCAAGAAATGTTGCAGTGTCCTAGGCTGGATATACGTCGAGGTGAACTTTGCGAAAAGACGATGAAAAATATTGCATTGGGCAGTCGTCTTTCTTCCCATCTAACTCTCACCAGTGAAAACAAACATGTGTATAATTTAAGGAAATTTAAACAATTCGCTTCTTTTAAATGTAGAACTGATAGATTTAGTAATAGTTTTTTCCCTAGCATGATTAGTGTTTTAAACAAATAATTGTTCTTAGTTATAAGTTCTTATTTAATAATCTAATGATACATTGTAATATAGTTACTTTTAGTATTGTAATTCCCATTCAAATCAATTGTAAAACACATTGTAATTCATTTTCATGCGATGATGTGTTATTAAAATACCATTATTATTATTATAGTACAGGTATCTGTATCGAGTTACAATTCCGGGTGGAACGATTATGGATGGAAGATCTTTTGTCATGCCAACTTGTTACAAACGTTCTTTAGTGCTAAGTTACTCATACATTTATAAGTCATAACACCATTGCGGAAATAGAATAGTTTCACGACTGTTAACCACTTGAGGTATCTGAGCAGTTGACTTACGTGATCAAATTTCTTGGTTCCTGTGATTATTATACATGTAAAGTTTTGGATTGGAGTATATTGGAGTTTCTTCATGTTAATACATGATGTTTGTGACCGTGGTAGGCAAACTTTTCAGCTTGTCCGGTGTGGATGCACACTCACAAACATCATGTTAGTAGTCGTAGATGTTGTATTTGAACATACGGCTGAGCACTAAAGCAGCTTACTAATCACTAGTGAAATGATTCTCGCTGAAATTATTTTTCACTCTGTTTATTTGACACTTGACACAGTTTATGGAAGCAAGGTGACACCAGCTTGGGTACGTGACGATCATAACTTGAGTCGTAAACTAATTGTCCAGTAGAATTCCTAAATCTTTGGCAAAATCTACATGTTGTAGAAACTTTCCCATGAAAGAGACAGAAACGTTGGCACTTAGTTTGCTCACTAATTGTCTGGTTCAATGATCATAAATCTGGAATTCACCAATTGGTTGTTTTCACAGCTTCCCAATTGTTGACAGCAGTGTCAACGTCTGTTAAGGCAAACGACAACAATGTTTTTTTTTGTACATGCAAGGCTTTGACACTTGATAGTTTGGAAAAAAAATCATAAATCGTAATCAAAAATCCTAATCAATCATAAACAAAATCACGCGAGTTATACACGTCGCACACAAAGTCTGTTTTCAACGGCTAACAATGCCCTATGTTCAGGCAAAGTTAAAACGCATATTGGATAAAGTCCACAACACAACTTATATACAGCTAATTCAATTAAGGTTGTCCAGAGAAAACCGCAAAACTTTGACGTCTAAGCGCGAAAAGCATTATTATTATTATGAGATTACGATTTGATGACAAGCTGCTTGCGTTTGTTTGGAATTTGTATCGGGTGCATGTCTAAAAAGAGTGGTGACCCTAATTTAGAAATCACCCTTTAGTTGAAAACACCCAAACTTCATTACCTCTGGGAGTTTAGACTTTAGAATGCTATGTCTATGTTAAAACGACTGAGATTGAAAGTTTAAACGACTTAGAAATTCGTCAGTTGACTCAGTTGGCTTAAAAATGGTTCAACAGACTGCAGAGCAAAGAGTTTTTACTGTTTTACGCGCTGCGTTAAATTAATCGGCACATAATCATATTAATATGTTCAACGATACCAAAAAATTTTAAATAACTTTCATGCATGAAATTCTATTCAATTGTGTTTATGCACTCACGGGTTCAGTATATAGGACTCATGCATGAGACACCCTGTATTTATGACAAGGATTGTGTGTTAAATGTTTTAGGTGTGGGAAGGTAAAGGTGTTGTAAAAACAGCACGTCAGATGCTTGGTGAAACAGATCCGGTAAGTTCAAAGAATTGAGTTATTAATTGTGAAATGCCTTGATGTGATGAATGATGCTATGTTGATTATAATTCACTGATCTCATTGTAACTTTCTGCATAGCCTATCGAAGGGAAGATGGCTGTGAAACTCATTAGAATAACAATATAACTCCTCTATGTTGGTCAACGTTTATTCATAAATCTGGTCCTTCACCGTCACGTGTGTATTGTATTCTTGCCCAACTAACCAATAGCAATGTTTGAAACTGGAAATTGCTATTGGTGGATTTGGTAAAAATACAATACACACGTGACGGCGAAACGACCAGATTTATGAATAAACGTTGACTAACATAGATAATGAGTTATATTGTTATTCTAATGAGTTTCACAGCCATCTTCCCTTCGATAGGCTATGCTTTCTGTAAGCTCGTAAAAAAATATTAAATACATGCATATAATCAGAAATAGTCAAATGTAATCCAGAAATAAATGTACATGTCTAAATATGTTTTTCTCGTTGTTAGGCGAAGTCATTGCCTGGAACAATCCGTGGTGATTACTGTATTGATATTGGCAGGTCAGTGTTGAACGTAACGTTCTTTTTTTGTCAAGTGCCATACTGTATTTGATAGAACAAATTGCTCTCATTAGCGAAGAGACTACCAGTAACCGGACCCGTTGTAATTCGAGTGAATGGCTTTGTTTCCATTTTCGGCCGTTATATATAGTCACCAAAAATATAACGTGTGCTTCTTTTGAACCTGGAATTAACACACTGACCTTATGTGAAGTTGGTGTTCAGTGTTTTTGAGCAGCCGCGCGATTTTTACCCTTGTCCACTTTGGATTTTGTCTTCCGTTAGCCTTTTGCAATCCTCAAAAATGTTTAATTTTGGACAGTAATGAAATTCAAAAGCAGAAGATCTCGAAAACGTTTGTAAAATATCATGGCTTGGGCAAAAATGTTTCTATATACTGCCAATTCATAAATGAAGCAAATCTGGACGAGGTGATCCTCTTATAATATATTAGCATATACTCGGGATAATGCTTTTTGGATAGTGGGATAGTGCTTTTTGTGCAATTTGATTCCTCAGCTCAGATATCCTTCCATTTTACCTACGGACAAAAACAAAATGGCTTCAGACTAGCAAATATTTGTACCATACAAAGTCGCGGTCAAACACGAAGAAAGCCAAGGTTTGCTAACAGTGTGTGTGCAAGTACTCTTTAAAGCTATTTCTAATGAATAGAATTACTAAAGCTTGAAATAAATACAGTTTTGTTTACAACTATTATGGGAGACTTTGGGAACTGTAATAGTCTAGTAGAAATTGCCTCAAAAATATTTTCGTTGTTTTTTTCTTCCGTTTTTGTTTTGTTATTGTACATGTATATGCTAAAACAATTATTCACCTCAGTGTCGGTGAATAGTGCAAGGATTCACCTCCACTTCGGTGAATAATTGTTAATGGTATTTATATCTGACAACGTGTGTTCCTTTTTCTTTAGAAATATTATTCACGGCAGCGACTCCGTTGAAACTGCAAATGATGAGATTAAACTTTGGTTCAAAGACGAAGAACTGGTTGACTGGAAGCCACATAACCATTGTTGTGTGTACGAATAAGCGAACTGAATAGGCCCACAGGCAATGTAGTCTTGAAATTGAATTAAAAACTTAAATTTTTGTTGGTTTTGAGTTTTGTGCGATTTTGCTATTTGGTGAGGTATATGCATGGTTATATATATATATATATATATATATATATATATATATATATATATATATATATATATATATATATATATATATATATATATATATATATATAACATATATATATATATATATATATATGATAAAAAATCATGTTAATTTACATAAAATTGCTCTAAGCTAATTATACAGTAATTTTATTTATCAAACCGTTTCGACTTATTTTTACAAATGGCCAATCACATGCGAGATTTAAATTCTGAACCCAGTCAAGTGTGGAAGTGGGATTTGCAACCGATGTGACCAGAGGCTCTTCCTTCTCGCCTCTCGTTTCTTTCGCCTCGCAAAGAGCCTCTGGAACCAGGGTAATGGTTAGGTCTAATCAATGTATAAAATTCACACTCGAAATTTTCATGTACAAAACCCTTCTACAATTTGTTACCGAGTGTACAGATGTCATAGATGCCCCAAATGCTGATATTTAACTTCTATAAACAGTCTAACTTCTTCATAGGCTCAGATTCCACTCGATCGCCACTCGCCCACTCAACGGCTGGGTCAATGAGCTTCGGCATTGTTCTGATTGACCAATCACATTACAGCCCCCAAAATTTGGGGGGGCATAAATTTATATTAATAATGCATAAATTTAACACAAAGGTAATAAATTAAATATGGCTAAAGCGCATTGCTGAAGCGTTCGAGGTCTTCGAGGACGGCGTTGTGCAAATATGTGCACTTAAAAAGATCTGTTCAACGATATTTATACGTGAACTACATGGGTTAAAGCGACATATTTGGGGGAAGAGTAATTCCGACGATTTTTACGATACGAACCGCATTATGATTTACAGAAGTCTCTCTACGTTAATAGTCGCTGGAATGTTTTCGAATCCGTTGCATATTTTTATATTGTGTTTATAAATAATATATCTCATTGAGGATTCTTGGTCATGAAAGGGCAAAGAATATTTTGCGTGTGGCTTAATTAATAACCTTCCTTTTTTTAGCTTAGCTATGTGGCCTAGTCCTTTGAAACCCTCCCTGTTTCTGCTGACTCAGTTGGACATTTATAATTATGTTTACAGTAAACCTGGATGTGTTTATTATTGGGCTGGTCTGACATATTGCTAGGAAAGTAGAAAATGTTATTTTGCAAATTCTTGTGACATATAGTATATTAGTATGTAGGATATTGCAGTATTTAAAAGGCTTATTTTAATTAATATTAAGACATGTTTATATGATCTTGTCAGGTGGAAAACCTTGCCAGGCAGCTAGGATGTCATGTTTATACATGTTCGTGAGTGAGTTCATCAAATATATATATGTTATTTACCGGATTGGAGGTCCGTATAGAGAAATATTTTTCGAGGTCTTAAAAACGGCCCGAGGCCGAAGGCCGAGGGACGTTTTTAAGACCGAGAGAACTATTTCTCTATACGGACCGACCATACCGGTAAATAATATTTTTATTTTTTTTTAATTCCTCCTCTAGATTTCCCCAATCACTCCTCCCGCACGCGAATGAAGCTGCCAAATAAAACGTCGTTTCTATCAATGCTATCGGGAAGAGAAATATCTTTTGTGAGAGTAAAATTCGTTTTCACTGTGTTTTTCATCGTCTGCAGACATTTTAATGTTTTAAAAAGTAGCCTTTAAACTCGTCTTTAAATTTTGAAAAATAAAAACATTGGCTCTACGGCTTTAAATGTCGCGCGGTCCGTACGGGCTCATACGGACCGCTCACGTAGCCAATCAGATTGCAGAAAAGCGTAAAATATGACTTCGGACCGCAAGAAAAAAAATAAATACATGTATTTTTGAACACGAGTTGATATGATAGTCAAGATTTTGGAAACTACCTCTTCCTGCCTAGCTGGGATTTTATAAACAGGCCCTTTCATGGAGCCCATGGCGCTAGGTAATAATAGGCTTAGTTAGATCTCCCACAAGCTAGTTTGGGCCATTTGACAATATTTTTTAGACTGGGCAGGTAATTTGTGAACTGAAACTGATATATCAGTGTGCTCATATATGCTAATTACAGGCAAGCACAATAAATTCAATATTATTATAAGTAATAGCATAAAAAGAAGCGAATTAGCTATTAAAATGTCCCGCCCGATGAGGGTCGTTTAGTATAATTCCCTTGGGCGCCGCTCGATGAGGGTCAAATTGCTTTGTTCCCGGTAAAACTTCGCCAGCGTATATAATAAACACCCATCTTCGAACATACAAAGCAATATTAACACGTCCTATAATTTTTGCAATGGATTTTTAGCGAAATGTTTCGATACTAAAATTCTATGGAACTTAGAAAGCCCGATAATTACTAGCCTGCTTGGCCACCTAGCCTCCTTTACCGTTTGGATTGTCAGGGGGGGGGATTCAAATAAAAAACACCTATTTCCGGCAACAGCCAGCCAATCAACGCCGCGATACCGACTGTTTACAATGTTTGAAATCTGATATTGTAATTTATCAACAACAAAACTCTTTCGATCGATCGATCGTATAGTATAAGATAGAAAGAGGGCTTTTGCAAATTACAATATCAGATTTCAAATATAGTAAACCGTCGCTATCGTGGCATTGATTTGCTGGCTGTTGCTGCTGCTGCTGTATACAATCGAAAGAGTTTTGTTGTTGATAAATTGCAATATCAGATTTCACATATTGTAAACAGTCGGTATCGCGGCGTTGATTGGCTGGCTGTTGCCGGAAATAGGTGTTTTTTATTTGAATCCCCCCCTGACAATCCAAACGGTAAAGGAGGCTAGATGGCCAAGCAGGCGCCGTAGTAATTATCGGGCTTTCTAAGTTCCATAGAATTTTAGTATCGAAACATTTCGCTAAAAATCCATTGCAAAAATTATAGGACGTGTTAATATTGCTTTGTATGTTCGAAGATGGGTGTTTATTATATACGCTGGCGTAGTTTTAGCGGAAACAAAGCAATTTGAAGATTGAATTGTTCGTGTCGGCTGTTTGAGAACTGGAATCGTTAGCCTTTGCTTTCAATACTATCACCTATGAAGACAGTCGCAGGCATCGAATGTAAAGTCGCTCAGAAATAAAAGACGATCACATACAATCAAAGTAGGCAAGTAAATATGATTTTAAAATATAAAATTCATTACAAATTTTACTGTGTAGTATATTCTATAATGATATATTTACTACTGATACACTAATACAC